TTATTATTGCAAACCTTTTAAGCATCTTAATCAATTACTTTTTTTCAGTAAAGCTGTTCCTAGTTCTGGAACTCAACTTCAAGTTAAGGTATAAGTAGTAAAAGTCTCTTATAAAACAATAGTCCGGTGCCTATATGAACATATAGGAAAATCCTGTTTATACCATCGACATGGTTCACACAGGTTATCAGCAAATCTGTTCCTAATGCGCTTTTTTTAACTAAAGTAACGGGGCGTAAACTCTACAGTCCTCCTTCTGTGCAAAAATGGTAAATAATAATAAACCTGTGGGACAATGTGAGGTGAACTACTCCTGACCACAGTTGTTCTCTGTATTTATTTAGTGTTTCAGGAATTGAACAAGTTGTCTACAACAGCAGCTAACTAATGATGGATGGAGTTTAGTGGATTACCTGGCAAGGAGGGATGTTGAAAGCTCGGGTGCGCAGGTCTACTCTCTGCCACTGGTCAATGAGGGGCAGCACAAGGACAATACCAGGACCCTTTGGAGGACACACTCGACCCAGACGAAATACTACTATCCTCTGGTAATTAGGCACAGTCTATAAACAAAATGAGTTTCAGTTGTTTGTTTTATTCTCAACAAGAGAGTAAACATGTTGTGGGAGTAATAATTTCAGCTTACTTTCAGTACAAACCATCCTGTTATAGGAAATGTTACAAAGGTACAAATGTAGACGAGGAAGATAACAATCAGGTTGCAAATCCATGACAGCCATCCCTGGGAGGTATCTTAAAGCAAAGAAACAAACAAACAAAGTCATCTTTAAGAGTATGTTTAGTGAAGCAGTCATTGGGAGACTTACTCCGCCTGTAAAAACAGTTGCATGATGGGGCCTGTGGCTTTAATGGGTGCTGTCTTACGTCTGAGAAAGTGACATCACTTGAATGATGTCAGTTAAGTCATTAAGTGAGATTAAGTGAGTTTTACCAAGCAGGAAGGGTCTCAAAAAACATGCTACTCAATTGCATTATGGGAAGTGTAGGCATCGAGTTTGATTCATCCAAAGGATGAAATTTCAGTATACATCGTCCTCTGCTATTTTGACTATGCTGATTTGTCTCATTCTGACTCTGATTTAAGTCCTTGCATTACATGCAATGCCATGATGCATGGTGGCTTTTGGCATAAGTTGCTGAGATTTCTATAAGTTTTATGTATTTTGTCATGTTTTATGTCTGTTAGTGTTTACTGTGTTTCACCTGACTGCAAGACAAAATAAAGAAAATAGTTAAAGGTGACGTTGGAGCCAGTAATAACACTTATTATAATAAATGGTAAACCACTCATATTTAGACAGGGGACAGTTTAAAGGAGAATACATTTCATCAGATTATTTTCTTATTTTAGTGAGTTATTAAATAAAACCCCTCAACTCTCCACGTCCAACGAACGTAAGCCAGGTGCCATAGTTTAATATGAGTGTAGTTATTTCAGCTACCTACCAGTAAAGTCGCATTTAGAAACATTGGGCATGTTGTCAAATGAAAGTCCTTTATGGTAGCCGGGCTGTGTGAAGCCATCAGTGTCCACAAACAGTCCAGGAGTCCTCGGACAGTCCCTCTGAGGGAGCAGCTGGTACGACCTGCTAAACATTGTCAACTGTTATTTCTTATTTAAAGCAAGTTCATATCAACTACCAGTCCCCTGCTGGCTGACATAGCATAAATAAAGTAGTTATGGTTGATAAAACGCAGGATGCTTTAGCTAATCATGCTATCTAACGAGAGTATCGTCCTTCCGTGTTTTGTTCCAGCTCTTCTTCTTGATGTTTACTGTCGACTCGTGATCATCAGTACATGTGCTCATTACCGCCACCTAACGCCGCTATAGCCCAGCTGCAGTTTCCGTTACGGGACACAGCCCGAAGTTCATGATAAACCTTTATCTTTAAGATAAGATAAGGAGGAATGTAGTGCAAGAGTACAGAAGTGGAAGTACAATAAGATCTCACAAAATAAGAATATTACAAAATATAATAGAAAATATAAGACTATAAATGAAAAGTATATACACTATATGCAATATGCAAGTAAAAATGGTGTGCAAATATCTGAGCAACTTTGACTAAAAACTAAACTGTTCATGTGCAACTTAAATATACATAGTCGTGCTGTTTATGGCAGGGGCCCCCGGATGTTTACTCAGTAGCCCTTGAGCTAATAAATAAATAAATATTGTATTCATATATATTTGATATATAATATATATGTTACTAAAATAAAAATAATAAAAAATAGAGCTCTTAACTCTATTCATCTGTAACTCTGAGTATATATGAAAAAATAATATGATATGATAACTGATCAAATAACTGGTCTTCTGTGTGTCATTCAACCTGGCACAGCGGTGCAATTTTGTGTGAGCAAACTGTGAATAACTGTAGATAACTGTGGATATAAGAAAAAGCTTTTTCAAGAAGAAAAAGCATGAAGCAAGAAACAAGATGCAAGAGAGGCTAGGGAAGGTGGAGGAGGAAGAGTTTTTCTCATTGATTTAACAGCAGGTGAGTTAGGAGGATGTGAGAGCTTCATCTACAAGCTCAGGTTGGGGAAGGAAAAGGAAAGAAAGGAATAAACAACCCAAGTTCAACATATTTGTCAAATACAAATTTTTCACATTTATTTAGGACAAATACTTACATTCAAAACACATATCCTCATTTTCAGTAACAAAAATGCTTTTTTCTTGACAACTAAGTACCACCACAAAGTAATTCTGTCTGTGGTTCTTTATTAAAAAATATTTAAAAGAAAATGGTGCAGCAATTACTGAATCACTGTATGCTT